GTCTGCCCTACAAATGGCAGGCCTTGGTTACCATGGTGTGAAGAATGACTTTCCACCTGCACACATCCATGGGGGCCCATCATATGTTTGGCCACAGAAGAGTTCCGGATCACATAAGAGGGACTCCCACCGAAGGTGCCCAACTTCTGGCATACAGTGAACCTGGTATGAAGTCCAAAGTCTGTTATTTTTATGTCGTGATGGGCCACAAGGAAGTTCTTAGGCTTCAGGTCCCTGTGGGTATCCCCCTTCTGTTGCTGGTACTAGAGGGCTGATACTAGCTGCTAAAACTTGCTTCAGGCCTCTTCTGCCTTCCTGTAACCCAGCTCTAGGATGTAGTAGACCAGCTCTGCTCTGCTGGCATACTCTATGGCTAAGAACAGAGTGTCTGTGGTGGCCAAAGAGCTTGATGACTTTGGGGTCACCCCATGGAATAGACTCTCGGGGCAGGAGGAGTTCTGCTGCCCGTTTGGGATGGTCACAGCCACCTGGGTCCCAGTGAGAAGGTGCTTGGTGAAATTCATTCACCTTGGCAAAGTTGTCCTGGCTGATGATCTCGCGGTGCCTATACTGATAGGCATCAGCAGAGACGGTCTGAACTACAGGCAATTTTACTAGCATAAAACAAGATTACAGTATATGTACTTCATATTTACAGTATATTTATTACATGAAAATTCACTACTTTAGGACTACAACAAAAATTGTAGAGCACCTTTTGCAGCCATCACTGAAGCGAGAGTGGCCAAAGTGAAATTCAACACTTTTGTGACTTCCGACCAAAGCAAGAACTGCAAAAGGCATTTCAATGCACTTTCCCACATTTGCAGGAAGATTATGTCTTCCCCTCTTTCCAAAGAACTTAGACAGAAGTACGATGTTTGATCCGTGACCATCCAAAAGGATGATGAAGTTCAGCTTGTGCAAGGACATCATAAAGGTCGGCAAATTGGCAACGTAGTCCAGGTTTACAGGAAGAAATATGTCATCTACACTGAACAGGTGCAGCAGCGAAAGGCTAATGGTACAACTGTCCATGCAGGCATTCACCCCAGCAAAGTGGTTATCACTAGGCTAAAAGTGGACAAAGACCATAAAAAGATCCTTAAACAGAAAGCAAAATCTCACCAAATAGGAAAGAAAAAGGGCAAATACAAGAAAGAAACCATTGAGAAGATACAGGAATAAAGGAATCTTACATACAAGCTTTCACACAACGGCTGAAACAACAAAAAAAAAGAGTTGAGCTAAGCTTATCAACAATTTCTAATCAATGTCTAATGTTTGCCTTTAAAATGAAATTGCCATTTGGTTAAATTACTTTGGTGCCTACAACGATTTGCTAGCAAATAAGCATTAACAACACAGAAGATCTAAGAAAAATTTGACAGAGAAACTATAAAATTAAGCACATTTAATCTAATACTTTGTTTTTTTGGGGGGTCTTCAAATTAAGACTTCAGGAAAACATCTGGATTTGGAATAACACTATGTTTTTCTAGGAGGAGTTTTTACAATCCCTGGCTTCCTAGAAAATGCCTGTATTTTCAGAGGTCAAAAAGACCCTTCTTTCGGCCGGGCACGGTGGTTCACACCTGTAATCCCAGCACTTTGGGAGGCCGAGGTGGGTGGATCACGAGGTCAAGAGATGGAGACCATCCTGGTCAATATGGTGAAACCCCGTCTCTACTAAAAATACAAAAAATCAGCTGGGCAGGGTGGTGCATGCCTGTAATCCCAGCTACTCAGGAGGCTGAGGCAGGAGAATTGCCTGAACCCAGGAGGCGGAGGTTGTGGTGAGCCGAGATCACGCCATTGCACTCCAGCCTGGGTAACAAGAGTGAAACTCCGTCTCAAAAAAAAGAAAAAAAAAAAAAAAAAAAAAAAAAGATCCTTTTTTCAACCTAGTCTTAAATGACCTTTCCGTCTTCATCTCTTTCTGCCCGGCCTCACTTCTGCCATACTGTGTGGCTCAGTGTCCCCCAGACCACTCTGTGGTTTTGGTCATGTCCCTTCCCTCTTCTGGGATATTCTTCCAAAACTCTTTTCTCCACTTCACCCTTCAAAACTCATGTAACTTCCTTTTTGCCTCCTGACTTCCCCAATCCAGAAAAGCACCAACGGAGCAGGAAATAAGTATATTCTACTAAATGTTGTATTTTCAGCATAAACAGAGAGACTGGCACATAGAAAATGCTTCATAAATGTCCCCTTCTTTGTATTCTCAGAGTCTTGACACACATCTGTGCCCCTACCTCACTGTGCTAGAAGCCATTTTCAGTGACCCAACTCTCATATCTCCTTCCCCAGTAGACTATGAGCTCTTGAAGGCAGGAATTATGTCTTTATCACATAGTAGATGCTCCATAAATATCTAGGAAATCTAGATGAATTGAAAACATATTCACTAATCTCCAGATGTTCAAAATATTCAAGAATATTGAGACATACAATGTACCTAAATACTACGTGGCAAAAATTATAAATGAGGTATGTACATAGCATTAGGAAAATTCTGACGAAGGAGCTATACAGCTTCTGGCTTGGAGGTGTTTGTCCTGGAATCTTCATATAGGCTGTGATATTTGATCTGTCCTTTGAGGAATAAGATTACTAGGAAAATAGAAAAAAATGATTTTCTAAGTAGAAGAAATTCAGCACAAGACAGAAACAGAGGTTAGGGCCACTAGCATCCGAATGGATCTGATGAAGCTTCAGTTTGGGGTTCACGGCAGGGAGTGGCTGGCAAAAAGCTGGGAAAGTACGCTAGTTCTGGCAGCGCTCCTGGCCTGGGCTTTACAAAATGAGCAAGAGAGTGTCAGGATCAGATCTGTGTTTTAATCTGCTCTCTAACACCCTCTTCTCCCCGACTCCTCCCAACATCACATATTGACCATGTAAAAGAGTTGGTCAGAGGCAGCATGATGATTCATCATAAGAATCAACTTGAGACTTAGGATTGTGTTCTAACCAGTCAACAATCAGCCAACACTAGTGCTATGTAAATCACACACTGAAGCACAAGTCAAGAATGTGGTAGAACGAACACAGCTGGTTTCTTGGGAAAGTCAGTATCATCCAATTCAAGGATTCGTGGCCTTTATGAAGCCCTCCCTGATTTTACCAACCCAAAAGGATCTCTCTTTCTTTCTCTCTCTCTTTCCCTTTCTATTTTTCTTTCTCTCTCTCTCGAAATAAGTGCTCTCCCCAGAGCACATATTTTGTACTTAGGACACTTTGAAATTTTTTTTCTTGCATTGCTGCTGTTTGTCCTCATTCCTGGTACCATCCTTCTTTTTTCTCTTTGCCTCATTTTACAAGCTTATTTTTTTATATAATTCACCTTTAAAAGACATCATGGGAGCAAGATAGGATACTGGCCACGCATGGTGGCTCACGCCTGTAATCCCAGCACTTTGCAAATACTGAAACATTCAATGTACTTATCACTTGAGGTCAGGAGCTCGAGACCAGCCTGACCAACATGGTGAAAAACCATCTTTACTAAAAATACAAAATACAAAAATTAGCCATGGTGGTGGTTGCCTGTAATCTCAGCTACATGGGAGGCTGAGACAGTAGAATCCCTTGAACCTGGGAGGTGAAGGTTACAGTGAGCCAAGATCACACCACTGCATTCCAGCCTGGGCAACAGAGTAAGACTCCATCTCAAAATAATAATAATAATAATTTTTAAAAGGGTATAAAGCAATCAATTATAAATGTTGTTAGATTTTAAGCTTCAAGATGGGAGAGTTTATCTCCTACTCATTTTTATAAGTTCCACAGCACTACACAAAACACATCTGTTGAATAAATTGATGTAGTGATAACAATATGATAAAGTAAAAACATTCATTGGATTTTTTAGAAAGTTTACATCTTTTCCTTGAAATATCACTAGCTTACTGGTGGTTTACAAATTTTACTAGTTTACCAGAGTATTTGCATAGATGTTTATCTTGTATTCTTTTAAATTTTTATTTCTTTAAACTATGTCCCATCTGTGGTTGCCCATTTTCTTGCTTTGATTTGACAAAGTTTCATCTCTTAAATAGGTCTTTTGGGGGGAAAGCTCTTTTATTTACTTATTATGCTTATTTTTCTAGAAGAAAAGATGTTTTTATTTCAGCAAAATTATAAAGTAAAAAATCAAAGAAACAATAATATTTGGCACTCACTGAGACACAATTTTGTAAAGAAGAAAACTAACAGTAATCAGCATAAGTACAATAAATTATAAAGATCTATTGATCTTTTAATGAGGGAAAATAACCAGAAGAAACACAAAAAGACTTAAAATACAGTATCATTGCCACATCATATGAAAACATTCCCATAAAAAATTAACAATTTCCACTTGGACATGTAATTTTTCAGCCCCCTTTGAACTTATTCTGAAATCTTAATGTTCTACTGACATTTATAGACTAGCCATTCTCTCATTCCATGAACTCACAAGTAATCAGTCCCTTCAAAAGCAATTAAAAAGGAATGCTTCCTGATATACAATACTTAAAGGCTAATATTTAATCTTAATTGGCAACAAGTTTAGTGCAAATAAAATTACATTTAGCAGCTTAGAAAGTCCTGGTGAGGATGCATTCTCTTAATCCTTACTGTTTCCCCAGAGTGAAATCATTTCTCTCTTTTTCTGAGTACAAATGTTGGCCATTCAAACCTACTGAAAACTAGTAATGATAATTCTGTTTGTTACACAGGGAGTTTCCATGAAAGATGGTTTCAGTCACTATGCAAATGAGCCACATGGTTTTTACATTTGGAAAGTTCCCTTTGGGTTGATACAAAAAAGCAGGGCCTGAATGACAGTTCTCTTGGGAATGGAGTCCAAGTCATAACTGGATCTCACCCAACTGCTTCTCTGATCAGTGAGAAGACCCAAAGGAGGCATTAATCATTTTACCCATTAACCACCATGCATGGCATTCAAAAGAAGACTTGGGAACAGAGCTGGGGAATCTCTCAAATCAAACTTTACGCTCCAGTAATAATTTTATTTCACTGATTTCAATGCCAAAAGAATGAAAAATAAAGCCATCTGATTTCAAACCTGGTGCTTCCCACTGTCAGCCAAGATTTATTCTCCAAATGAACAGAAGCCAGAGAGCTCCTAGCCAGAGAGGATTTTGTATGTGCTTCGTCAATTCCTAGAATTGCCTCTCTGTTCGACATCTGTTCCCTCTCTAGCCAAGGCCAGGTACTGCTGCTTCAAGGAAACAATGTGACTTACTATGCCCAAATCCATGGTGGCAAGGGAAGAGGAAGAATGCCTCCTGGATTTTGAGCACCTGGATCTACCCCTCGTCTAGGTCTCTCTAGTTCAAGTACTTCAGCTTTCAAAAAGTTTGGATGATCCTCCTAAGGTTCAGGATGTGGTGATATAAGATCCAATGAGGTCAACGCCATTTCCTTTGACCATCCTCTTTACCAACTCTCACCAGCTTTTATATTCCCCTGGAATTCTTTCACCGAGTAGGGCGAGGGTATGCTGCCTGCATGTTGGACAGAGAGACCTACCTCAGTCACTATACTCTTCTCTTTCCCTTGGACTGGGGAATTTCTCATACTGGTTGGCCAATTTCCACTTGCTGTGCTGACTTTTGAGTAGTGCAGCGAAGGAAGTCTTTCGGGTGACATTTCTAGATATTTCCCTGCTCTTGGCCTTTCTGGTGGGGGAAGAACTTCCAACTAAGGAATAGACGGGGAAAATGGGCTTGCCCCTCGGGGCTCCCAATAGCTGCCATATTTCCCCAGAGGTATTACTGGTTAGGTACTGCCATGGCTTCTTCCCACTGCTGTCCCTGACATTCACTCGAGAAGCCAACCTTTGCACTAGCAATTTGATAACTCCCTGGTGGCCATGAATGGCTGCAAGATGCAGTGGGGTATACCCACAACTGGACCTTACATTTACATCAAGGACAATCCCTGCCTTCTTTGCTCCAGAGACCAAGTCCTGAAGGGCCCTGAGGTCACCATGTTTGGCTATCCAGTGCAAGGCGGTGTACCCAGTCAAAAAGTCTTTGTGCAAGGCCAGTTGAGGTTCCTCCCAGAACAAAGTCCACACCTGAATCCAGGAGCCACTGGCAAGCTTCACAATCCACTCGTGCTCCCTGGCATCTAGGGGAACCAGGGGTGATTTGTGCTCAGAAGTTCTGTGGGGGGCCAAGGCTGCAGGCCCCTCCCCACTAGGAGCCCACAAGCTGTGTCGCCAATCCCACTCAGCCTCAGCAGGCTTAACCTCTGCAAGTTTCGGTGATAACGCTGCATCTACCCTTGGATTGGGCACTGTTCCTGCTTTGGAGGGCTTTCTGGATCGAGGTGGGCGCCGACTTCTTCTCAGCAAGCTCTCATCAAGGTACTCTTCATCAGAGGAAGACAATTTGGCTCTTCCTGCCAGAGAGCTCCTTCTGAGGGACCTCCTGAACCTAGGAGCTGGCCAAGGCAAAGGCTCCAGGGGGTGGCCTGCCAGGCCATTAGCCCCGGCAGGGACCTGCTGAAAGGGGTGACCATCCTTTCTGTTTCTGAGGCCTTGAGGGCTCCGGCTGGGGCTGCCCTCCTTCTGAGATACAGAGAGGCCCCCAGCTGGATTCCTGAGCCTCCCCTGATCTGGGGTTCCCAAAACAACCTGCAGCCCTTCTTCAGAAGCCCCCGGGGACTCTTTCGGCCCGCTGCTGCTCTCCTCACTGCCATGACTCTCCTGGTCTACAAAGTCATCTAGATCTTGGAGGGACAGCTGACAACGAATGCTGCGAAAGACAGTCAGTGAAGGGTTTCCCGGCCAGGATTCCGAGGATTCATCTGGAGCAACAGGAAAGAGAGGGTGTGAAAAAAGACGGGGATCTGGAGGCTCTGAGTTAGGCTCCGTGGAGCCAGGCTCCAAGGACAGCTGAAGGAAGTTGTCTGGCAGCACCGACCAGAAGCGGGTAGGGCCCTGATCACGGGCCTCAGGCACCTGCGGGTGCCTGGCCACCCACTCTCGAGTGCGCTGCTGCTGTTGCTGCAGGGTCGAATAATGCAGGGAACTGGGGGTCAGCAGCTCCGGCTGGTCTCCGCGGGAAGCGGGGCAGGGCAGGAGAGCAGGCAGAGAAGCCCGGTTCGTCGCAGCCTCGACTGTGGCCGGAGGAGAGCTAGGTGTTGCAGGCACTGGCGCAGGCTTAACCAACGCGCCTTCTTCCCGCTCCCTGGAAGCCCCGCGGCCCTCCAGGGCTGGCAGAGCCCGCGCCGGCTTCTCCTCCGCGGTGGCGGAGTCGGGGAGTGCGCTGAGCTCTCCCGGGAGCCCCGCCAGCCTGTTTTGGAGGCATTCCCAGCAGCAGAGGCCCTGCGCCTCCGCCGCCGCGCACCTCGCTCCCGCCTGGGCCCCTGCCGCTGCAGCTGCGGGCACCGGCGCCCTCTGTCCAGGGCTGCCCTTCGATCCGCCGCCCTTCCCGGGAGCCCCGCAGGCGCCGCTGGCTGGGAGTCCATTGCAACCCGCGTCAGCGGCTCCGGCTGCTGCACCTGCTGGCTCCTCCTCCGGCTCCTTCTCGCGCCGCCGCCGCCTGGGCTGCTGCTGGGAAGGCTCCCCTCGGCGCGCCCCTCTCGGGGAGCAGGGCGCAGCTCCCCCTGCACTGGGTGCGGTTGCGGGCGGATCGCGGGGTCGCTGCAGCCGCTCCTCCCCCAAAAGGTCCCTGTACCTCCTCTTGAGCACCACGTACTTGGTGCCGTCGGGGTCCTGGCGCACTGCGGCGACCGAGTTGACGAAGCCCTTAAAGAGCTCGCGGCGCTGCTGGTGCTGGTTGGGGGGCAAGTCGGGGTCTCGGAGAAAGCTCTTGAAGTGGCTCAGCAAGGCAGCATTGGTCACGCGGCCCCCAGCCTGGCACAGAAAGTCCAGTAGTGCCTCCTGGCTCAGTTCTTGGGCCATCGCTGCCTTGTCCTCCGTCCCCGGGGTGTCTGCGTCTCGCCCTCCGGGGAATCTCCCCTGCCAGAGAAAACCCTGGCCGGGCGAATGTCACCTGCGCCCGGGGCGGCACCAAGCGCCCCCATCAGCGGCGGAGGCCAGCGCTTCCCGCAGCCGGTGAGCGCGCCAGGAGGGCTGTGGGTCCCCTTCGGTGGCCCCTGGGCTGAGTCCTCGCGGGCAGTCTGGGAGAGAGAGGGCGGCTCCCAGGCTCCCCCCCCCTGCGCGACGCTAGCCTCTCGCAACCAGTCACCGCAGCGAAAGTTCCCGGGATAGGGCCGAGTCGGTTTCACCTGCGCCCTGGCGGCGCCTCCTCCCTGGCTCGGGGTGGGGGGGGCGGAGAGGGAAGGGCCCGGCCCGCCTCCGCGTGTCACTCCGCCCTCCGAGGTCTCCCCCACCCCCCGCCACCCATCCCAGAAGAGTCGGGCAGGAGAGCCAGCGGGTAGGTGAGGTTGGCGGCGAACCCAGCCGGCAGCGAATCGCTCTGCGAGACGCGCGGCCGCTCCCGGCCAGGGAAGTGGAAGGCAGGTAGGCGACCGGCCGTTCCTCTGAGTCTCCGCCACGCAGGAAACAAAAGCGATGGAAAGTCCGTTCCTGTCCTCCTGGTGCTTTGATGAGTTCAGGCTGAAGCCGATGGGGGAGGAGGAGGAGGTGCAAGTTAATAGGCAATCTGAGTTCTCTTTCCTTTATGAACGCTGTAGAGGAGTATTTCAGATTTCTCAAGGCTGTTTTGAGGTCCGCAAAACTCACTTTGCATCCAAACTAAATTTGTCTTAAGATAGAAATACTTACTGGGCCGCTTCTCCGGCGCCCCTTCCAAGGGGTCCAATCCAAGTCTAGACCGAAAAGAGAAATCACTCTGAAAATTACTACTGGCCAGTGTTGGTTTGGGCCTTTTTCCTTCATACTTGTCTCACATTAAGGTGCTGGAAAAAACAAACAAACAAAAACACTTTGATAGCTTCTTGCTCCCAGCAGCCAAAATGAACTAGAAATTATGTCTCACCAGTTAAGGTATTTGATGTGTAACATTAGTTTGCTTTTATTTACTCTAAAATTTGTGAACAGCAGAGGTTTGTACAGTGTTTTGGGTTGGCTTGGTGAAGTCCTTACGTTCAGAATGTAAGATTCCCTCCACAGGTTCAAAATGCAGACGAGAGCTGTCTTTAACAGACCTTTGCGCCATAACAGCTGGGATCCGTCTTCCTTTTTCTCTCTCCACATGTTGACACTTTCGTCTTGGAGATGAGACCCTGGATGTCTTTTCCTTATCAGTCCTGTAGACATGCCTGAGATAGTTTTCACTGTCATTATCTCTTTTCCTGTTTTAGTTACAAGCCCTCTCTCATTCTTTTCTTTAGCTTGACCTTCTCATTTCTTTCTGTTACAAGACATCTTTGTTTACCTTCAGCCTCCACTGGCAGGAAATATGTCTGCCTCTCAGATCTTCTCGTGTCCACTGTACTTCCCATTCAAAAGCGTCCATTTTCTCTCTGTCATTTGTTGTTACTCTTTTTTCTTGCACTCCCCTCATCTTCCCACTTTCCCTTTTGCTCTTCTATTTCTGATTATTCATAGTTTCTATTCTTTTTGCCAAGAGAGAGTATTGAAAGTATGTGTGTTGGCCCTGCAACTGTTGACAAAGACATGTTTTAGCATGGACCAATCTTAGTGACTGCCCTACAGACTACATTAACTGAGCTTGATTTTTAAATCCCCAAAAGTACCCTGGTACTTTTCCATGAATGAATCCTTGCCTTTAAATTATCTAGGTCAGAAAAAAAGAACTGGAAACATTTTTGTCCATTTTTGGCATTTTCTAGGATTCAAACCCAATACGGGGTTGAGAGAGGGATAATGGTTTCCACTGATGTCTCTACATAACATCAAGCCTATAGGATAGTTATTAAAATAAAGATTTTGTATTAAACTTCAGTTTTCTTTTGAATTTATTTGCTGGTATAGAGTCTTGCTGGGACTGAGTGAGGTGAGTCCATACCTAAGGCAGGAGGAAGACGGAATGGAAGACTCAAGTAGGCATTTTAGAATGGCAAGTGGAAAGCATCCCTCTTTGGTACTTTTAAAAACATTTGGTTACAAAATAAGGGGCTTGCTGCAAAAGACAGCCATAATATTGACTGAAGTTTTGACTTAAAGGACTTAAAAAGACTAGAGAGAAAGGAAGTGGAAGGCCAGGTGAGAGGAGATTATAAAGCGTATGGTTGTTGAAACCAGATTATTTTTAGTTGAGGGTGGAATTAATTGGACTGGAGGGAACAAAAATAAAAAGAATCTGATTCCTTTAGATTTCTGGATTCCCAGGGAATTTGGCGTCAAGACCCTCTCCTCTTTCTCTCTCTTGTCCCAGGGTAAAGGGATGGTTAATTAGAAAGCTCTTTATGTTATCTCAGGGAGCATTTTCCTGCCTCCTGCATGTACAGTTTGTTATTTCCAAAAATCTTTATGAAGCTTCTACATTACCCCGACACTGTTGGGAATGGGAATAAAGAAGAAAGTGTGCTTGAGAACTTGCTATGTCTCTCTATTTAGTAGGAGCAACAAGATAAATGGCATGAACCTGTGTGCTAAGTGATTTAACAGAGACATGCACCACATACTGGAGAAGTTGAGGGGAGGTGCCTAAAGGCAGAACTCAGGCTCAGCTTGGGGGATCAGGACAATTCTCCAGTAAGAGCTAACTTTGAGTAGAAAAGGTGAGAATAAGCATTAAGGCAGAAAAAACATCGATGCAAAGGCAAAGAGATGTGGCTTAGCATAAGCATAGCTATTTGGGGAATGAACTGCCAGTAGATCTGCTTGGCCTGTTTGGCTTTAAGGAAGAGGACGTGTGTAGATGTGCTAGAAAGGGAAAAAGATGGGAATCAGAAGATGAAGGGCTTTGGGGGCAGGGGTGGCTTGGAAGAATTTTCCCAAGGGTAGCAACCTGACCAGATTTGTACTTTAGAAAGATCTCCTGGAGGTTAAGTGTTGGTTTGGAATCATGACCAATATTAATAAGTAAAAAGATACATTGTAGAACAATGCTGTATGTAACCAAACCTAAGAACCATTGATTGTATGACACATTGTGATTTTAGAGATGTTGAAATGTGAAAAAAAAAAGTTCCTCCTAAAATACAATACAGCATAGAAGAAATATGGTGTGTGTAATAAGATCCCATTTTTAGAAAAAAAAGACGTGTATATGTATTTGGTGATAAGATTTAAGAGCTGTCTATGGTGTGACTTTAATTTTTTTTTAATAGCCTGATAAACTATTTGACTATTTACAATGAGAATATTACTTTTTAGTTCAAAAAAGACATTAAGGGAAAAAAGTCCCATAAATGAATATCAACAGTGAAAGAGACAATATCAAATCGTGAGACTAGAGGAGGAAGGTGAGGTTGTCCACAGGAAGAATAGTCCAGAAGTTGCTTGAGATTATCTAAGAATATGATGATAAAGGTCTGAGCTCAACAGTGGCCAAGAAAGGGAGACAAACAAATGTATTGGAGAGGTGTTCAGCAGATACATGTAGCAGGATTTGGAGGCAGAGTACTCTGGGGATGAGAGAACAGGTTGGCTTGCTCCCATGTGTCTATCCTGAGTGCCTGGATATAATGCCCCCGACCAAACCACTGTGTGATTTTCTCCACTTGGACAGAGTATGCCCTGGGAGGTTAGAAACAGGGAAGACAGGCACTGGACTGTTGAAGGGTTGAGGGTTGGCAGGTCAGGGCATACAAATTAAGCTTGTGTAAGAGGGTAGTGGCATGAATTGATGTGAAGGAAGTCAGCTCAGAGGGTTAGTGGATGACTGTTACCCATGGACAGTTGTTACCATCTGCCTCAATAGAAAATATAAAGGCAGTAATTGCTGGGAATGGGAAAGATGACCGATTCAGTTTGGACATATAAAGTTTGAGGTGCCTATGGGCCATAAAGATAGAAATATCTAGAAGGCAGTTGGTAATATAGGTTGGAGGCTCCAGGATGTGTGGCATTAGCATCTATAAAGAATGGTCATTTAAACCACAGGCAATAACAAAATTGTTTTTTTTGAGACGGAGTTTCGCTCTTGTTACCCAGGCTGGAGTGCAATGGCGCGATCTCGGCTCACTGCAACCTCTGCCTCGTGGGTTCAGGCAATTCTCCTGCCTCAGCCTCCTGAGTAGCTGGGATTACAGGCACGCGCCACCATGCCCAGCTAATTTTTTTGTATTTTTAGTAGAGACGGGGTTTCACCATGTTGACCAGGATGGTCTCCATCTCTTGACCTCGTGATCCACCCGCCTTGGCCTCCCAAAGTGCTGGGATTACAGGCTTGAGCCACCGCGCCTGGCCCAACAAAATTGTTTAGAAAGAGATATATACACAGTCAGAAGAAAAGAGGGTAGAGGGTGAATCCACATTTACCAAAGAGAGAGAGGAAAAGAAATCTGTCAGGGAGACTTAGAAGGAGCAGCTAGGAAGGAAGAGAAGCACCGCTGAGCTCAGTGTCACAGGAGTACCAAGGCAGGAGGAGGGAGAAACAGCTTTCTATGCCAAGATGCCAAGTTAGATAAGATGTGAAATATGACCATCTTCTGTTAGGTCACTGGGACCCAATCTGGAGCAGTTTCAGAACAGTGGTGGGGACAGAGACTAGGTCACAGAGTGAGGGAGTAGAGAGTGGGATGAAAAAGCCTTGACCTTAAAAGGAAGGAGAAGAGATAATTCTAGACAAGGAGACTATCAGATCATGCAATGTAAGATTTTTTGGGAATAGTTGTTAGAAGAGATATGAGCCTGTCTCTGTGCAGGCAGAAAAGAGCCAGGAGAGGATAAGTTGAGACCTGGAGGAGAGAGTAAATAATTGATGAAACAGGGCTTGGGGTGGGGCTAGAGTCCAGAGTTCAGGCAGAGGGATTCCCTGGGACAGGACAGGGGAGAGCCATTTTTCCCATTAAGAATTGGGAGAGGAAAAATGGCTATTGCATTCATTAGCATAGGCTAACCTGCTATAAAAATAAACCCTAATTCATAATGACTCAAAAACAAAGCTTATTTCTCACTTACATCATTTTTGAGGCAGTTTTTAAAGACAGGCAGCTACTTCCCATGCAGTTATTTCAGGAACAAAGCTGATGGCAGCTCTACCATCTTTAACACATGTATTTTGTATCATCAGACAGCTTGCCAGAAGGGGAAAGATCATGGTGATATGCATGTGGGACATTTTATAGACCAAGCACGGAAGTGGTAGATAACACTAATGCCCAAATTCCATTGGCAAAAAATTTCATCACATGGTAACACCTAACTGCAAAAAGGCTGAGAAATGTAGCAGAGCTGTGTGCCTAGGAGGAAGGGAGGAGCAGATTCTGGTTGACAGCAATTCATCTTGGCCATAGCTGTAGATATACATTTTATTTGCACAGGGAGCACAGAAAGCTGAGGGGTTCTATGCATGAAGATCATTTTCCTGATGATATAGAAAAGGATGCCAGAGTATGAATATGTAACAGAGAGAAAGAAG